TGGGTATTTTATGGAATGTCAGGGTGAAGGGGACAGTTGAACTAAAGCGCAAGTCCCAGTCCAATTGGACGATAATAGGACATGGAAGTTCCTCTTTCCACAATACCACCAGACATCAGTCTAGGGTAGAAGGAACGCTCCGTAATTACTGCTGTCATACTCACAAGTAATATTCAAAGTGCGTGTCAACAGTTCTTTCACAGTTTGTTGAACTTAGCTCCCTGCTTGGAGAGCCCAGAAGAATAGTTCATGTTCCCTATGGAGAAAGAGGTCATTGCCCTGGAGTTTGACCTTTGCAGTGTGTGGAAAAGCAATGACAGGGTTTTACAAGTCTTGTTTCCTCTTGTCTCTTCATCCTGGTATAGAGCTAGTATGCATCAGGATAGGTATCCCATCCTAGGGGAAACAGAAGCACCTGTGGCTGAAGTGAGGGCTCGTACTGAAAATTTGACCCATTTTACCCAGGCATTCACATCTCTGTACCCTGTCTCAATTTAAGTCCTGACAGATCTTCCCCGGTTCTTTAGTAATTTTTAAGGATTGAGCTAATCCATAGTTAAACTTCTCAGAGTCACTTTTAAGGGCTCTTTGAGTGATACATGCACTTCCCACTGGTCTTTTAAGCACTCCCTGCCCCAGATCTCTTTTACCAGTCTTTTTCAACAGTTTGTAAGGACATTCCAGTCGTCAGGAGCACTTGACAGGGGCTTCACAACTGGATCAGAGCTTGTCTTCCTTCCAGGTGTTAATCAGCACCAAGTTGCTGGGTTGAAAGTGAGGCACCGTGGACTCAAGAGGTGGAATCTGGGCAAGGAGTCCTTTTAACCTGAGGAACGATCAGTCTTCCTACCTTGGGTATTTACACACCCTCCACATACGTGCTTAGTGATGATATAGACTCCCACACATCCATAATCTCCAAAGATTGCATTGCGCACATGGACGTTAGAAGCACAACATGTATTCGACTTATGTACGTCATAAGTACAACATATATTTGACATCATTTTATCAAACCATTTGGCCAAAACAACCCATGTAAAACTCAGTTTTCCCAAACAATCAAGACTCAAAAATTACAACAGAAAAGCAAATGAAACCTTTACTTAGTTTAGTTACAAAAACACAGAAAAACCTTAGCTAGCATTGATATCAGCATCAACAAGAAAACATTCTTGTGTTTATAGCTTTCGTACCTAAAAGTTGTAAACCGTAGAAATATCAGTAAAAATTTTATGTCTAAAAGACAAAATATTTTAAGTATCATGAAAAAAGAGCTAGAAGATCAGGTAATCCTGCTATTTGAATTTTAAGCTTCAACCTAATCTCACACAGCATTTAACTTCTACAAACTTTAAACCCTTTTCTTTTACTTTTATTTGCCCCATCTCTATTCCCTAAACTTAATCTCACAATCAGATCTCAGCATAGGAGATTAATTCCTATCTCAGGTGCATAATTTTTTATTTTAATATTGGAATTTGGAATCTCTCCCCATTCACATGAGTTTTCCTGGAGAATTCTGTAACCTCTTGGTTGGTAGTCACAGAAAAACCGGCAGCTCCAATATCCCTGTATTTCTCTCCTACCTGTTTGTTGAAATTTGGGATTTCCCCACTTTTTGTGCAGGGATTTTGATATACAGAGGAAACCATGATTTTTGCTTTTCGTCTTTGCTTCTCATCCCACTCATCAATGTTTTGTAATTTCTTTGTGATATCAAGTCAGCTCTTGGTTATAGAATTAACTTTTAAAAGTCCTTGTTTCACTAAGTCCTCCTGATCTAGTCCAGAGTACTTCCTCCTTTGATCTCTAATCTTTTTTGGAAAGCAGAGGGGGTTTCCTCTTTTTCCTGTTGAATTTCAAATGCCTTGGGAACATTTAGTGACCTGGGAATGTATTCTTTGATTCCTTGAATTATTATTTCCTTGAGAATCCCCCATTTGTGATCCATCCCTGGGATCATTACTATTTTACTTGGTGTCAACATTTAAAATCTTTTTTAAGCCAACGAGCCTCCCTATCCAGGACCAGAAGAATACTCTTTTTCCTAAATGGCCATAGCTGCCCTCCTAATCACTCCCCTATGAATAAGATATTCATTAGAGACATCATTTCAGTCCAGGTATAAAAGTCCTTAAATTTGCTCCAACTTTTCTTCTAAAAGTGACTTCATTTAACTGCCCTATTACCTATTCATTCTCCTGGTACTTATCTGAACCAAATCTGAGACAAATAAAAAGAAATTTCTTTTTTTTTTTCTTGTCCTTAGTCCAAGAGCCCAAGGGTTCCAAAGCCTTAACATTCTCCCCAATATACTATCTGCGGAATGTCACAGGGAACCTCTTAGGCTACCCCTTCCCTATATCTAGACTTTTTACTTCCCATTTTTGACCTGTCACCCTGTCTCGGTTTCCTGTGTACTCATTCCCCGCTTTCGGCCATTGGATGTTTCTTGCGTATGTGTTCAAGCTCCTATAATGGAGATTTCTTGCACATCCCCTGTGGATTTCCTGAGAACTCAACCTCCTCCTGCTGGAAATTGCTTGCACATCCCAGGACTCGCTTTGTTCACACACACTCGACCTCCAACAATACCCAACCACCTAGATGGTACTTGAAATTCCATTTTTCTACCTTGGCTCATGCACAAGTTTGCCTAATTACCACAGTACCAGATTTTTCTTCCGTGTCACCTTTTTCTGCCTTCCAGATAACAGTCTCAGGCTTTTCTGTGGCTTCAGCAGGCAGATGGGGTATCTGGACAGAGAGGGCCAACTGAAATTCTGTAGGATGCATCTCCTCCTCTGCCAGATCCCCTACTCCAGCAGGCACCCAGATCCCAGAAAAGACCCCAAGTTGTGAGAAACAACCTCACATGTCCCATTAAAGGACGGACTCAGATTCAGGAAATGCAGTGAAAGTGAGATTTTACTAATGCTTTTGCAAGATCGGGTGCCTGGTGGGCCAGCACAATCAGTGCAGTTTTATTTTTTAAAATTTATTTTTATTTATTTATTATTTATTTTTATTCCCTAGTAAGCAGATCTCTACCCCAATTTCTCATTGTCTGGGTACCATGATATTAGAATCTTCCTGGCATTTGCTTTAACTATTTTGGCCACTCCTAACATCCTGTTTGCCTAAGAACTTTTCAGGTGCATGTAAACTCACTGTTATGCTGGCTAGCTACTGTTAACTTTCCACACATCTGCAAGCTATTATGCGAGCTAGTTATCTACTCACAGCTAAACACCTTAATTTGAAAATGAACCCAGGGACCAGCAAAGTGGCGCAGCAGGTTAAAGCCCTGGCCTGAAGTGCCGGCACCTCATATGGGCGCCGGTTCAAGTCCCAGCTGCTCCTATTCCGATCCCGCTCTGCCCTGGCCTGAGAAAGCAGTAGAAGATGGCCCAAGTCCTTGGGCTCCTGCACCCGCATGGGAGACCCAGAAGAAGCTCCTGGTTCCTGGCTTTGGATCAGTGCAGCTCCGGCCATTGTGGCCATCTGGGGAGTGAACCAGTGGATGGAAGACCTCTCTCTCTCTGTCTCTACCTCTCTGTAACTCTTTCAAATAAAATAAATCCTAAAAAAAAAAAAAAAAAGAAAATGAACTGAATAGTTACTTCTCACAGTATTGAACTCTTGTTCTATCACTGTGGAAAGATGCAGGATTGCCTTTGCCAACCTTCTGTTTCAAAACTTGAAGATAAGGTCCTCAGCACTAAAAAGGATGTGGAGAAGCAATAACAGCTTATGTGCTATGCAGTCTTATTTGACATGTTTATGTGGCATTTTCTTATTCATAAAGGAGCCCAAGTTTGTAATTTGGTTAACATTTGAGGGGGAGTATTTTTGTGACAGAAGGAACTAGGTATTTAAATCTGCAATGTCCTAACCATTTAGGTTGGAGCCCCTTTTATAGCTTCTTTCCACATATGATAGAAAGATCATAATTTTTCATGGACAAGATCAGAGTAGAACCCTGAAGTCCCCAGGTCCAGTGTGTTTCATAACCTTTGTCATGGATCATGGAAGTTGCACATCTCCATTTTCCATGTACTCCTGTTAATTAGTAAGAGCAGAACATGTGAACTATTTGACATAAGAAGCTGACAGTCGGCTTTGGGAGCTGTAAGGCTTGGTTTTGTCACCTAACAAAGTCAGTCTGGAGTTTGAGTCTACGCATCCAAAATTATGGAGTTTGGTAGCTTGATTAGAGAAGTAGCTGCTCTACCCCAGCTCATGCAAGACTTTCTGTGATCAGAAGAAACATTTGGAGATTTGGCAAAAGTTTATGTCATAAAAGGCTATTCTAGAAAAGTTTATGACCTTCATGAAGGTTTGAGAGTGCTGCTGGTATAATCAAATCATATAAATTGATTCCATTATTGTTTTGGTTTGTCAACCACGAAGGATTTGGTACCATGTCTTTTTTCAGTACAAAGGGGAAAAAATCCCTTCTAAAATTTTCACCTGAGCAAAGGACAATATTTGAGATTTATAGTTTTTTCCAGACCAAATGAACTTACTAGAAAGAAGGGAAGAATGAAGTTTTTCTGCTCATAGATACTATACCACTTCATTTATCCATCTTCCATATAGTTACTTTACCAGTTGTATACACTGCAGGAATTAAAAACAACTTCAGGTTTTTTCACGTGGTGTAGGTGTTCATCAGCACTGAGACTGATTGGTTAATAAGACCCGGTTTTGGAAAACTTGTTGAAGGAGGAATTAGGTTTGTGCCTGACATGTTTACAAAAAAGTAAGGTTTGTAAGAGAGAGACACAGATTAAAAGGGAAACTTAGTGGAAGGTCATAGACAGATTAGGTTGATATGTAATATGCAGTCAACTTTTCAAAAAACAGGGAAAGGGAAAGTTTTATTTACAAAGAAGTTTTTTTCCATTTTCTTTTCTCAGGGAAGAGAGACTTAAAAGTTGAGAAATAGATGAAAATCAAGTTTCTCAGTCTATGATCTTGGGGAAAGCTGTGTACTTTGTGATGTCATCTGCTTCTAGAATCTTGGTATTGTTATGCAGTCATCAGTAGGAATGGTCTTCTGGTGTCCTGGGAGCAGTGGTCTGTTTCTAGCTTATTGTGGTTCCCATGAACCCAGGAGGAGTTTCTTATAATTTGATGACAGTGTAGGTGGTTGGTAGTACTTCGTGAAGTCAGTCCCAGCAAGGTAACAGTACATGCTTTCTTCTAAAAATCTGGATGTCTATCTGATCTTTTGGTTAAAAAAGAACAAAGTTTGTGAGTTGACGGAGGCCACACCTTTTTGGTGTCATGTGTTATTACTTAATATGCTCTAAGTAAACTAGTTAGTTCTTGTATCTAGCAAGGCAAATTGCTCACTCAAGTCTCCATACTGTTTACTCAATCCAGGAATGGTAAATGTTAAAATATAGCCTTGGCAGCTCATGACAAGAGCCTAGGGTGATTACTGATGCCAGAAACAAGAGTGTCAATTTGTTCAGTCAACAACAGGAATCACTGTGCACTTACTCCTCATGTAGGATCTTTGTCCTTAGTGTGCTGTACATTGAGATTTAATGCTATAACTAGTACTCAAACAGTATTTTTCACTTTATGTTTCTGTGTGGGAGCAAACTGTTGAAATCTTTACTTAATGTATGCTAAACTGATCTTCCGTATCTAAAGAGAATCGAAAATGAATCTTGATGTGAATGGAAGTGGAGAGGGAGTGGGAAAGGGGAGGGTTGCGGGTGGGAGGGACGTTATGGGGGGAAAGCCATTGTAATCCATAAGCTGTACTTTGGAAATTTATATTCATTAAATAAAAGTTAAAAAAAAATCAGTAGATAAAAGTGGCCAAAAACTATTTCTAAAGGAGTTTGTCTGTCCCCTGATTGGAGAACTTGACATTTTTATTAGGACCAAAGGTAATACTTTTAGCCATTAAGTTCAGTTTCTTGAAAGATTTTTTTTTCTGAAATTCATTTCATTTCCAGATTTTTACATTACATTTGCCGTAATGATTAAGGATGAGTGAAGTATGAAATTTTTAGGGGCTTCCCGGACTTTTCACAAGGAAGTGGTTATTTCTGCTGAAAAATGAGTTCCTTCATCTGATTCATCTGAAAAAATTAGGAAAACTTTCAGTTTTTAATTTCTTTACCCTCGTCCTGTTGTCAACACATCTAGTTGGATAGCATTCGGCCATTCACCAAACTTGTGAAAAATAAAGTGTAAATAAATAAATAAATTTGGCGTATCATGGGACAGTCTGGGCCTTGGAGGATTCCTGAGCATATGTTGATTATCTCCAGAAATTTGGTGATATTTACAAGTAGTGCACTGGGAAATAATTTGATCAGAAATTGGCTGCCAGGGTAAGCCAATTGTCTTTTAGTTTCTCAGTTCTCTCTTAACTGCACATATGGTCCATCTGATGACCCAAAAAGTAAATAAATAAGTATATAAATATAAGGAGCTTATAGTAAGTATGTTTTACTCAATGTATGAATCATCTGAAAAGTGTTTGTTATCTTATGTACCCAATTGCTTTTCTTCGTATGGTGAGACATTTGCCTGATTATTGGTAATATTGATCTGGGATAAAATTTATAAGTTGGGTGGAAAAAGGATAGGTGAATCCATTTTCATGTGCATATTTAACAGCCCTGTTAGCCCTGTTGTTCCCTAGAAATACAGTATCAGCTTTTATCAGTGACAGGAAGCTAAGCACTGTGATCACAGAACCAGGATTGGCCTGAAAGCCAAGCACGACTGAGTTCAGCCTGGGATTAGACAAGAGGCATTGCAGAGAGCTTCCCTAGTAAAGCTATGATATTTATAATAAGCATCTTGTATGTAGCAGCTCTTCAAGTCTTGCTTCAGTTACTACTGTCCAGTCATACCTGGGTGTGTCAGCCTCATGCTTGGCAGTAGAAGGCATACTTGTCTGAAGAATGCTTGAGCTCTGTAGCCTTTGGATGATACACTTTGGTTTCTGCTGTGCATCTGTATTCTACAGTGTTGTCATTGACCATAATTTTGAATTTACTGGAATTTCAAGTGCATCAAGTTCATTTATTTAATTAACTAATTGACTGGGTTAGTTTGGGCAGGAGGAGGGACTGACAAAGATTCTCTCCTTGACCAGACTCTATCCAGGCTCATCTGGGCATTCTTCTTGATGAGGTCTCCATCCCTGGGCTTCTGTATTCAAACTTTTAAGGCCCTTTACTAGCATGGATCCCTCTGAGTTGGTTTAGCAAGAATTCCCCATCTTCCACATGGTACCGTGTTTGATATCTTGTGGCTCTTCATCCTCCAACATCTCCCAGTTAATATCTGATCACCCTGGCCTGTCTTCAGCAAAATCAAGTCAGGTCAGGTTGTTTGCAATCCCCACTTTATTTCTGTTGTTTCACCTTAATGAGCTTCTGCTGACCCTCACCCTGCTTCTTGGCTATAAATTACCAATTTTCCCTGTTTTATTTGGTATTAAAAACAGTTCTAAGCCATGGTTTTATTTCTCCTATTGGAATAGTTTTTCTCGAAAATTTCTGCTTTGTATGGTTTAACCACTGCTAGCTCTATATTTTGGATAACTTCATGGCTTCTGATGGTTATGCTTAAACTTTTTCATGTTCAAGTGTTACCGTTGGCCATGATTTTGAGTTTAGTGAAATTTAATGAGCACATCTAGAATGTATCTGTGGAGTTTAAAACTGAGTGTCTCTGAAAATTGAGCAATAATCTAGTCCTATAGCTAAAGTTCTATTTGTTAAATATTCTTTAATTAGCCCTGGGTTCTTACAAAGATTTTGGATACCGAATGGTATTTACATTCTATCAGAGTAATTCTCCTCCAAGAATAAGATAAATTATTTTATTAATTTCAACAAAACACCCTTCGTACCTAGGTATCATTCATTTCTAAAAGCCAAGGTATTAACATTTTTACTGCATATCAATCTGATTGGCTTGAGGATCAATATTTAGAATTCAAGTTTAATCAGATGATGATTTTTCAGCTTCTTAGATATATTATTTCCTGGTTATAGTAGAATAGACAAATTTACTGCATGAATTGAACATGTATGAAGTATATCTGTATGTCCCACCATAGCAACTAAAAAATTTTGGTTCAGGAACTACTCTTGAGGGATTTCATTATTTATTTGTCTCTCTATTTCTCCTTTCTCTTTCCATCCTAGGGAAAAGGAGCATAATTCGAAAACTAGTATTTTCCCATAGTAACAAATATCAAATGTGACTTTCTTTATAATTTTGAAAATATGAATTCTTATTTATTTATTTTGTAAGGAGAAATTATTTTTACTGTTAGTGTAAATACTGTGCATTCTTAAGTGCCTTAAAGTTCATTCTTCATCAGTGTGACACTGTAGAAATCTGTCATTAATGTAACAAAGTGCTTAGCAATCAATACAACAGCAAGAGGACTTGGTTTTACCATTGGATTCAAACTCACTTCAAATGCTAATAAGATTTTATAACATTCTTATGTTAATTTACCATCTTTGTTATCTTCTCTGCCATGGCATTTGAAATTGCTTGGATTAAAACACACATACACACACACAACACACTAAGCACACACACGTTTCTGCTCCCCATCACACACTAACATATCAATATGATTAAGTCTTTCTTTAATTGACTGGGCAAAGGCCTGCCTTTTCTCATCTGACAGGTTAAAAACTGCAAAGCTATCAGACTGGATCAACTTCTGACTTACTGATGTCTTAGGGAAAAACTTTAAAAATTTTACTTCAAAAGTAAGTGATCATTTTTTCTTTATAGCATAGCCTAGTGGGGCAAATAATGTATGCATTTCTGAAAAATGATTAGAAATTATGTAATGTGGCTCCTTTTTATGATGAACTTCTTCAGTGTTGAGAGTAGTTTTTCTGGCAGAATATTGTGCCTGGTAGTAGTTATGCAAAGTAAGATAAGCAATTTCTTTAGCTTTGAGAATTCTATGCCACTCATAACATATCCAGGACAATACTGACAAAATTAAGGTGAAAGCAAAAGAAACCCAGAGAGAATAATAATAATAATGAGAATATTAACAAAGAAAAAAAGGAAAAAGAAATTGATATAATGCTATTTAAGGTGGCATTAACTTATTTTATAGAAACAAATGTATGATATCATGATATCTGGGACCAGTGTTATGGCACAGAGGGTTAAGCTGATGCCACTTGCAATGCCAGCAAGTCAGTTCCAGTCCTGACTACTTCAATTCCAATCCAGCTCCCTGCTTATGAGCCTGCGAAAGAAACAGAAGAAACCCAAGTGGTCCGGCCTCTGCCACTCATGTGGGAGGCCGGGATGGAGTTTTAGGCTCACATACACACTCACTCCTTCACACACACACTGCCTTTCAAATAAACAAATAAATCTTTTAAAAATAGAAAGTTTATGATATCTATTTCTTTCTTTATTTTTTTTCACAGGCAGAGTTAGAGAGAAAGGTCTTCCTTCTGTTGGTTCACCCCACCAAATGGCGCTATGGCCTACGCGCTGCACTGATCCGAAGCCAGGAGCCAGGTGCTTCCTCCTGGTCTCCCATGCGGGTGCAGGGCCCAAGCACTTGGGCCATCCTCCACTGCCCTCCTGGGCCACAGCAGAGAGCTGGCCTGGAAGAGGAGCAACCGGGACAGAATCCGGCGCCCCAACCGGGACTAGAACCCGGTGTGCCAGCGCCGCAGGCAGATGATTAGCCAAGCGAGCTGCGGCGCCAGCCATGATATCTATTTCTTACCAAATTACCTATGAAATATCACAGCTTAGGAAGAAATTTCCTACAGAAGGTTCTAGCTCACAATCTCCTTCCTAAAAACCCATGTGAATTTTTCTGTTTAATGAAGAAAGTTGCATGGTTTTTGCTTCATGGGGTATTGTGCTGGTCTCTATCTTTTTCAAAACTCTGTTTGGATTCAAAACTTACCTTCAGTATTATTCTCCTAATGTCAAGTGCTATTTGCTTAGTATTGTGACTATGCCTTGAGCATGTTTGAGCTGTTTTACAGACTATAGATTATGAATGAGTTAAGCCTTTTCTAAAAAAAAAATTTGTTTGTTCTATTTCAAAGGCAGAATGACAGAGAGAAAGAGAGAGAGAGAGAGATATCTCTTCCATCTGCCGATTAACTTCCCGATACCCACAATAGTCAGGGCGGGGCC